GTTAACAAAACAAAAATAATATCATATCATCGTGGATCACTGAAATACGAATATAATTACAACGTAGATGGCGTGCAAATTGAAAGAGTTGAAATAATGAAGGACTTGGGAGTATTGCTTGATGTGAAGATGAATTTCAAATCACACATCGAGCATGTTGTTGCAAAGGCAAAATCAAGATTTTCTTGGGTGAAATTCAACAGCAGGGATTTTGTCGACCCAAGGACACAAAAACGCCTTTACTTTGCATTTATTTTACCGATTATTGAGTATGGATCAGAAATATGGAATCCACACTACGACAATATGTGCAAAAGAATTGAGTCAATACAAAAACAATTCTTATTGTATGCTCTAAGGAGAATGGCCTGGAATGACTTTAGACTGCCAAAATACGAACACAGACTACTATTTCTGCAAATGATTACTCTTAAGGAGAGACGCAATATGAACAAAAAAAGTAAAAACCTAGTACATTACGGTGGATTACCAAGATATTAAAATATAGGTGGCCGCTTAAGTTCAAACTTTTTCCAATTTTCAACAAATAAAACAATGATGGTTTTTAAAAATGTGCATATCGGCTCAAAATTGAGTGCGCTTTCGATCTATGAGGAAAAAATCAAAGCAAGACATACATTTTCTCAAGATAAATGACGATTAACTTCGATTTTCATCGATTTTTCTCCATTTTTTGAGGTCTAGTCATTCTGATATATCCTTTTTCGCTGAATTTTTTTTCAAACTTTCTTTGTTGCTTCATCAAGATGACCTTAATGACTTTCCAATAAGCTAAGAATGACGTGATTCTGTTAAAGAACACCCCGTATATCTGTGAACAAAAATGGCCAAAAATTGAAAATTTGCCGAACAAAAAAATTTCAACTTCGGAGTATTTTTTTCAAAAAAACGAATTTTCCCAGATATGACACATAGGCCAAATCATTACATATTTGGTCCCTAACAAACGCCTAGTTTTTTGATTTTTTTCATAGACGCATTTTTTTTTAAATTTGGATCACGTGAAAAAAGTCATGGTCATTTTTTGCCGAAAATGCCACATAACACGCCACCTGGCGGACATTTTTGAAAATTTTTCCATTCTGACTTCGGATCCGGAAAGGTGAATCTTTTACCTTTCCAACGACGTATAAATCATTGTGGTACCTTACAGATGGCCAGAAAAATGTCCGATCGATGAAAAACTCAAAAACGGCCTCCCAAAAATATTCGACCCTAGACCAAAACTACTTACGCAACAAATTTTTTTGAAACTGAGAAATTAGTTTGCTCAGTTTTCAGTCTACTTTCGAAAAAAAATAATTTCATACAATTTAAAAGAAACTACGGACAGACATACAAACACCTCAACCGGCTAATTTTGAGGTTTTTGGCCATTTTTGGCCAATTGACCATATCTCGGCCACTTTTCAACCGATCACGATGATCTTTTTTTAACATTATCTACGCGGTCCCTATATTCCGAATATGACCAAAAAAAATTTCGAAAAAATCATTTCAGAGGTCAAAAATCGAGAAAAATGAATTTTCACCGATTTTTTCAAAATGCCGACTGGCGGCCAAATTTTGAAATTTTTTAATTGTTTTTGCGGATTCTTAATTTTGTGCCCGGACACTACTAAAATATGCAAAAACCCCTTTCCAAAAGTCAGCGGTATCGATTTTCATTTCTTTAACGTATATATAGAGTGACGCAAAATATACATATTTCATATGTATGTGGGTATTGCGTCACTTGGGGGACTGCCGTCCCCCGTGATTATATTTATTTAATCAAAATATTTTCAATAAACCACCAAGGCGAAGGAACGCTGTTCATTGCAGTTATTATTATTATTATTAAAGTGATTTCGAAGCTAAAAATCATCAAACATAGCAAAATTTTGATTATGCGTGACAATTTTGCTGAAATTTTTATATATTTTGACAGTCATTTTGGTATGAATAGTCATTTTTAGGGTGAATTGGTGCGCTGAATCCGAATCAAGCCTTAAAATTGAGATACCGCCGACGAAAAATCAAAATTTCATTAAATTTTTGCAGAAAATTGATTAAAAAGTGCGATTTTTTGGTTAATAATCATTTTTTGAGCAATTTCAATACCAGATTCGGATTCAGCGCAAAAAATTACCCTAGAAATGATGGTGCATACGATTCCAAAATAATCTGCTTTATACACTTTTTTTCGTTTGAAAGTCAAAAAAACGAGCAAAATAAGGTATTTTTGATATGGTCGGGGTCGGGTCGTTTTTCAACCTTTAAACAATGTAATGATGCCAGTTACCTAGTTTTGGACCAAAATAACAAAACCGGTCGGGGAACAACAATCCGTTCAGATAGTGAGATTTGGACCACCCTAATGACCCCTACCCTCCAAGTCCCCCCACTCGGTCATAATCCCTTCACCCATGATTTTTTTCACTCAAAACCTCGAAATTCAGAATCAGCATGCCAAAATACCTTAGATATCTCCCAACATCTCGGAGCCCCCCGTACTAGGGTAAAATAATGAAAAGTCAATTTTTCACTTTTTGGGTGCAGAATTTAGCACTCAAATGTATGGCTAACTATAGCTATAACTAATTTTATCAGAACGTTTCATTTAGGCTATCCCCTCGTATCACCCCCATCTAACACAAAAATGAATAACATATTCGGATTCCTCCTAAAAAATTACCTATACGTTGGCGCCATACATTGTCAATCTCTTTTGACCTATGTTTCACTCCATCTAACTTGAACCTTTAATTCGGGTCGAAAAATGAAAACGGTCATTCAAAATTTCTATCGTCATTCTGTACTTTGCACTACATTATTTTTTGATCCGACCAAATTTTGATATCCTTACTAGTCCATTACGAGCACCCTTTATTTTCACATACTTATTTGATCGCCACTTTATGTCGTTCTGTATAGGTGACATCAAAAACTTTTAGTAACACTTTTGGTACTCTACTGGTCAGCAATAAGCGCTGAATAACATACTCTTTTCTCGATATATTCAATAGATATATAAATAAATAAATTACAATCTGGAAATTTCACAAACACAAATCGTCAAAAAATGGTAGAAACACTTCGAATACATGCTTATAAAATATTAGATCAATGAGTAAAGAATATTTTGACACTAGTTGCTATACTTCAAACTTATTCAATATGTCAGATTGACGAGTCAAACAACTCCCTCATGTCTCCCAACAATACTTTGCATGAAAAAATTCCTCAGACACTACCTCTTGTGTCAATATTGCAGAACTCAACAAGACCATTCTAGAGATATACATATTGTACACAATTTGCCTTAATTCTGGCTTTATATTCAAGACAATGCGAAATAAATGTGTGTATCTAATTTTTTCGGCTGTTGTCATTAGATGGCGTGTATATAATGTCTTCTATTTTTGCAGCCCAAATTGGGCTCATTCCTCAATGCATATTTTTCTGGTGTTTGGTTTACAACAATATGTATACGATTAGAAAAAGAATGCATGAAAATAAATTAGATTTATTCTATACATTATGTAAGTAACAAATGTGATTTTTTGTGTTATAACAGACGGAGTTTCACATTTACTAACGAAAAAATGCGAGAAATCGAACGAGAAAATTATATTCTTCTTAACAAGATTCTGGCCCAACGTCCTCAATCCATTAATACTTTGAAAAACGAAATACCACATGCAAGTTGTGCATCCCGCATATCGAGTGCATCTATTAATCGGCGAAAACAACAAGAAAGAATTCTACAGAACAACAGTATTCTTCAAAAAAAAATTGATAAAATATGTCAAAGGAAACCAAATTAGCATAAGCTTTGATATATATTGTACTTTCAATATTTGCTTTTACAAATTTACCTGGTACAATATTTGGCGCAGTCCAGTATTTTTCCTTGCGCAATTTTGACATTCCCTCTTGTTCTCTCCTATAATTCTCCTTTTTTTCACACAATAAAAAAGCACATGCTTATGCATATAGTTATATTATATATGTAAGAAAAAGGAAACACACGTATATGTGTATCGAATAGGACGTAAATTCGAAAAATTGATTAAACTATGTTACTAAATTAATAAACTTGAAGTTTCCAGTTAATCATTAGATTCACGTATTTTTGATAATTTAATGGAAATCTATTGTGAATTGCATAAGTTATTCAAATCATATCATTTTGAATCAAAAGTCATTCTTCAAATGTTTTTTATACAAAAATGTTCCACAAACGTGTTTGAAAAGCGATTTTTTTATATTATGTATAAGTTTAATGTTGCTAAAACAATAGAGTCAACAGAAATTTAGAAATACTAGAAAATGGTTCTCAGTACGGTTAGTAATTGAAATAAATTTAAATGGGAGCTGAACTAAAAATATTCTTTACTCTCTTTTTCAGGAGTGGTCTCAAGTTGAAATAATCGATTTGACCAACGACGGAAACGGTCTCGGCTTCATATTAGTTGGTGGTAAGAGCACTGGAGTTGTGATAAAAGGCAAGTTACAAGTGTTTAAAAAAATAGAATGATGGCATATTTTAAAGTGCAATAAAATTTATAATCAAAATTTAAAGCGGCTTCTATCAAAATTTCCGAATCAAGAATGTTATTATCTTGAGATAATAAGAATGTTATTAAGATTACATACTTTTGTAAATATGTTTTGGCCTTGAAAACATGACGATTGATTGTTATTAAGGCATATTTCGTTATTATATTAGAAGCCGCTTCAATGCAAAATGCATACATATTGATTATTACAACTTTTGAGAAATACTTATCAGGTTTCTCTTCCACAATTATTTCACGATTATTAAAAAAAATTTAATTTTTTAAAGCCGTCTCCATCTTATGGAAATTTTCACTACGTGGAATTTTGGACGTAAAGTCACTATTATTCTCACCCATTCATATTTGGTTTCTACTTTAGTTGTGGTTTTGTTATTTCCGTTGTTGTGGCATAGGTTGGATCTGGCTTTTGATTGGAATAACAATAATAAATTATTATTGCGACTTAAATAAATATTACGATTACTAGTAACAATCGTCATTGTTCAAATTACTGATATGATAAAATAATTTTAATATAATGTTTATTCATTTCTATTAAAAATTAAAAACTTTTCATTTATCAAACCTTTTTTTTGTAGCTCTGGTACCCGGTGGTGTAAGTGATAACACAATTCGGATGTTTTTAATTGGTGAAACTTTCAATTTATGTTTTGTATTACTTTAACAAAAAAAGGTAAGTGCACGTGACGGACGTTTGCAGTGCGGTGATCATGTACTTCAAATTGGTAATGTGAATCTTCGTGGATTTAGTTCAGAGCAAGTAGCAACTGTACTGCGACAAACTGGCCCTCAGGTTCGAATTGTAGTTGCTAGACCAGTTGAGACCACATCATCAGAATATCGATCATTAGCCACTCATGCACCAATAATACCTACAAAAATTTTAACAGATCCAGTAGAATTAGAACGTCAATTAATTCAAACATCAATACCATTTTCAAATGATTTTATTGATGTTGATCAACTAATAATTCCACACGTAAGACGACGGAAAAATTACCATTATTTTATGAAATTTTCATCGAATTCTCAATAATTATATTTTTAGATAGAGGTGGTCACTTTGCACAACGATTTGACATCAGAACAAAGTAGTTTTGAACTGATTTCGCCTTGTTCAGCAAACGGGCCGATAATCGACTCATATATTTCTCTCCCCGAAACTGAAAAATATGATGTTGAATTGCGGAAAAATGTATACGGATTGGGCATAACCGTAGCAGGTTATGTTTGCGAAGAAGAAGATCTCTCTGGTATATATAAAAAAACACTTCTTTGGAAGTTCTCACTGTGACGCAATACTGCACATCAAATCTGAAAATGATCTGATATAAATTTTCAGTGACGCTTGCAATCAAATACACAAACAATTTTTATATTGCGTTGCCTCTTGGGCAGTGATGGGCAAAGATACTTTATCTGAGGTTTTTAAGATACTTTTGAAAATTATCTGATTTTTCCAGATACTTTACCAATATATCTTATCTTATCTAAACGTAATTTTCGCTATTTTTGTATGAAAAAACCAGAAGATACTGCAAGATAAGATAAAGATAACGAGATCTTTTATCTTATCTAGATAGAATTTTTAAACTTTTAAAATATCTTATTTGTTATCTAAGCTTTAGATAGTATCTTTACACATCACTGCTCTTGGGCATTATCACAATGACATTTTCATTTTTAATTTTCTAAGAATGAGAGAGGCAACGCAACATATTTTAACATTTTAACATTAAATTTAATTTTTCTCTTTGAAATCTACAAAAATGTTTGGCCAAAATTTTACATGTTCTTTTATTGTATGCATATCACAGCGGACGGCAGTTCTCGCGAGTGACGAAACCACATTAGTGTGTTGAAAAGTCGAACTCGCTATATATACACGTAATTTCCAAATTCTAGCCTGGAAGGCCTTTAGCCGCGAATGAATAAATTATCGACCGTTTTGGATGACTATTCCACCAAAAATTGGCCAAATGTACCAAAATTCGAAATTTCACAAAAAAGTCTAGATGTATGAAATATGAAATTTTAACAACAAATAACTATATGTTTGATATTCTCCTCGCATAAGATCGATAAAATACCGAATCCCACGAGGCCAGAAGGTGGACTATCGTCGGGAGAGGTGCATGCGGTTAGTCACAAATGAAATTAAAAGAAATCTACAAAAATGTTAGTATAAATGGCAAACTATGCAAAAGGTCATGCAAAAATGGCCATTATTTCATACGGTCGCTGTGGGACCTAGACTTGACATAACCAGGACATACTCGTATGCATATTCGTTGGAAAGGTCTTAAAGTAAGCTCTCGAGTGGTGCCAATTGCGACTTAAAAATTTCATGAGGGGTCGGCCAAATTGGCCAAAAACCAAAAATTGACAGTTGGCCGCACACATAACGGGCATTTTTTCGAAAAAGACTGCATATGTTGTCTTGAAAATTTTATCAATTTAAGCCCCAAGTCAAAGATAAAAAAATATTCATACCACACACCACAGATGTAATTTTTCAAAAGTTCATCGGATCAAAATATAATGTACTACAAAGTTGTTCAGAATGACGAGAGAATTTTTTTAGGATATCTGCCCTCCAAGTACCCCCACCCCCTAAGGGGGTCGGGGGGTCAAAAACCCCCCAAGATATGAATTTTCTGACCTGAAACCCCGAAATTCAGAATCAGCATGAAAAATTACTTTAGAATCGATATTTTTCTCATCCACGTTTTTTCACAAATTTTGGACCAAAAAAGTATAAAATCGACTTTGTTAGAATTGAGGGGTCGAATTTACACTTTTTTGGTCCAAAATTTGTGAAAAAACGCGGATGAGAAAAATATCGATTCTAAGGTAGAAGGTAAGGATTTGCCATTTTCGATTGGATTGAAATCGGGTGACTGTCGTGGCCAGATCATTTGTTTTATTCCATTTTCCTCTTTCCAAGCGGTGCAGAGACGACGTTTGTTTTTTGGATCATTATCTTCTAGTAGAGGCCAATTCAAATTGCCGTTGCCATAGAACTTCTTGGCGGTGAGTAACAGTGTCGATGAATAAAGTTGGTTCATCCCCTTGAATACAGTCAACTTTCCAAAACCAGCAAACCAGAAGCAACCATAAACATGGACCTTTTGCGGATGCTTTAACGTGCGAACGACCACTCTCTTTTCGGCTCTAGACTAGGCATGGGCAGTCTATTCACCAGCGAAAAGAATGACTCGTCAGTGTATATAACTTTGCTCCAATCGGTCGATAAAAGCGTTTTTTCTTCTGGTTTTCTGTCAAAAGTGGTTTTTTCACTGTACTACGATAACGAACACCGGCCACATCTAAACTTTACTTTTTAGTAGAGCGCGAGACCTCTATTTTAAGGCAACGTAGCCGTTCAACGCCTTGGCTCAACGACATACCTGGATTTTGATCAAACATCTTGACTATCCGTTTATCTTGCTTTGGCGAGGAAGCTCGGTTTGGCTTAACATTGGACTGATCGTTCACATTTTTTTCACGCTTATACTGCTGGATCCACTTGTTTACGATCCCACTTGACTTTTTAATGTATTTTGCAATCTTTTTTCTTTTGGATGCAAATGCAAAAAACTGCTTCAAAACATTTTGAAAAAGGTTCGGAATTCATGTTTTGATTGCATAACCAAAAATATCAAGATATTTGACATTTTTGTTTAAAAAATCGATGGCTCTGTATAAAAAAACGATTGATTAAGGTCAAACAAATTCTAGAAGATTTTCTTTATAATTTCCCTCCTATTCTCTTATGTTTTTCTAGATAAATTTTTAAAAATTTTCACATGATTGCATTTTTTCTTGTCATTGTAGGCATATTCGTAAAAAGTATAATTGAAGGCAGTGCAGCGGAAATGAGTGGTAAGATTCAAATTAACGATCGTATTGTGGCAGTCGATGGAAAAACATTAGCTGGAGTAACAAATCACCAAGCAGGTAAGTTTTGCTAAACAATGATTTTTAATATTTATTCATACTGATTTTCATTTCATAGTTGAAGTTCTTCGAAATACAGATATAGCAGTTTGGTTAACTTTAGAGCGATTCTTGCGTGGGCGTAAATTTGAACACTTACAAGTTGCTTTAACTGAATCAAAAGAAAGACCATTATCATTACCACCGTCTCCATCTTTAACAACTTTAACATGGGTAAATACATTTTTAACTCTGGTACCAACCATACACTTTCTTGATTGCTACGTTTTGTATTGGATATATTGAAACGGAAGTTTTTCGTTAGAACTCTTCAACAAAGATTGCATTTGTTTCAAAAATTTGGACTAAAGAGAGAAAATTTCTTTACTTTTTTAAATTTGAGGAGTTTTTAAATCAGAGCATACTAGAAGTTAATGGTAGAATATTAGTGAGAAAGTGTCCTTGTCGATTCTTCCCTATTAAAAGAATTACCAATACATTTTTATATGGATGAAACTATATATTATATTTTCGTTCGTTTTTTTTTTGTACAATGTACACTAAAATTAGAAACTAAAAAAAACTAACCAGTAAACATCCCTAGTGGATATTTTTTTTTCTTCAAATTTCCTATTGAATATGGTAGATGGGTTCAAAAAAACACTTTTTGCATCGAATTTTTTTCGCCAAATTGACATATGGTCTTGTGACTTTTGTATGAAAAGTGTATCAAAAATAATTTTTAAGGCAAAATTAACGTCAGATATATTTTTTTATAGTGATTTGTTAGAAAATAGAATACTTTCAAATGTCATACAAATGGGCTCATCATGAAAGTGTGAAGAATATTTCGATGCCAAGGTTTGAACATATTTTTTGGTCCCGAACTTAACGCCGCTTGAAAGTCATATACGGTCATCTATATCTTTTGAACGACGCAAAATATTAGAATACTTTCTTATGCAAAGTTGAAGCCCTTGAAGAGACAAAAAAAATTATCACCAGAAGAAGGGTCAATGACCTTTCCTTGGGCTAAAAATGACCCCAAAATCATGGCAATGGCAGAAATGGGATCAAAAACCTTTTCCTCACGAAAAATTACTCTTAGAACACCATGCCCTCTGAACCCCCAGAGCACCCCTTGTACCCTGAAATCGGGTGCAATTGTGAAAAAATTCGATTTTTCGACTTTTTAACCCAATTCTCAAGGTACAAGCTGTGCTCTGGGGGTTCAGAGGGAGAAAACTTTTGTTACACAGAAATGACAAATGTCACACAAAAATGAAAAATGTTACTCAAGGTATCAAATTAGCAAAATAGATGAAACGGTTGGATTGTAAAATGTAAATTACGATTTTTTCAAAAAAAAAAATTTTTTTACATTTTTGAGCTTTGATTCCAATTTTTATTTTAATTTAATTTAACTTAGCTTAACTAAAAAATTAAAACGAACGAGAGTAGTAAAATAATATGTGAACTGGACCAGTTTAATTGCGACAACACCATCCGCCATTTGCATTTTTATATTTAACCCTCCTAGGTATAGTTCGAAATAAAAACAATATAGTATAGTTACGGTCTATTAGACCGTTCATACAAAATACAGGGAAACCAAACAAAAACCAAAACAAAATCACACATTTTTTCAAATTTTTGCATTTTTTTTAAATAAAAACATTGAAAAAGGTTTGAAAGTTAAAAATTGAAAAGATTTCAAGAAAATAATTAATTTGAATCATCATTTGAATTTACATGAGAGCGTTTTTTTCTCGCATTTTGCACACACAACAGTGATTTTCGAATGTTCGCCGCATACATTTTTATTGCATTTGTCGCAACATGTTTTGGTTTTACGATTGATTGAACTTGGACATAAATGACATGCACGTCGTTGTCGTGGTGTAACTGGCGCTTCTTGTTCCTCTTGACCCATCAAATGCTCACGAACTTCTTTGAAAGCCGACTGATTAGATGCATTCATGCCACGCGCTGTTCGCCGTGAGATATGATCGTAAACTAAACCTTCATACAATTCGATCAAAAATGTCTTGCGTTGAAATGCATACTGTTCATGCGTGATATCGTGACTTGTGTTGTAAAGAACAAATGCTGCAACACCACATACGTTGATGAGATTCATGAAGAATGGAAATGGCCATCGATTGGTTCCAAGTTGACATGAGTTTGAATGGCACATTTGATCCCTAGTTTGATCCAAAACATCCACACCGCCTTTTGTGCTATTGTAGACTTCAGATCGATTTTTTTCTGACAGACATTTTGTTGAAATAATAATATTATGTACGCGATAAACAAGATTCAAATTGATTTTTCTTGACAATTTAGTTTTTCATTTTTATTAAACGGATATCATAAATTTTCACCAACTTGATTTGTGAAAATGCTTGATTATGTGTTTCCCATACATTTTGTATGGACGGTCTAAGAGACCGTAACTATACGATCAAGTTAGGATTTTCGTCTTTCTGGATTTTTTTTTTTTTACAGAACAGTTTCAGGATTTTAAATGTTATTTTCAATATTTATCCATTATTCTCGTAAAAAGGCGAAAATTTGATGCCAATCGGTCGACGCATTTCCATTTTATGATATTTTTTTTAAGTTTTCGGTCTAATAGACCGTTACTATACCTAGGAGGGTTAATAATATATAATTGGTTTAGTTCGATTGATGCGTTTGCAGTACGACAAATTTTCTCGAAAATATTTTATTTCTTTTCTTCATTTCAATGTTTCAAATTGTTGAATGCCAGGGCTATCAATGAAATTCAATCCAAACTTGAAAAATTATCACCCCTTATGACTGAACTGGGCATTTCAGTCTCTTCCCATGAAAGTTACGCATATCAATGTAGTTTCCATTGGCATATAGGATTGGCTGCCCTGAATGACCCAGTTCGGAGGGCAAGGGTTAATTTTTATATTGTTCTCACCCCAGCCAATTCTAGGGTATTTTGGCATGCTGATTCTGAATTTCGAGGTTTCAAGCCGAAAAAATCATACCTTGAGGGGCCATGATCCCCGACCCTCCTGGGGGTGGAGGGACTTGGAGGGAAGGGGTCCTAAAAATGTCTCTCGTCATTCTGAACAACTTTGTATTTCATTATTTTGTGTTCCGATGAATTTTTGACAATAGAGGTGGCCTTCTGCCTTTACTAGCCCATTAGCGAACCCTTTATTTTCACAAAACTATGTTTTCGGCACTTTATGTCGATCTGTATACGACAACCGACCCCCATGGAGTGGAGGGACTTGGAGAGCAGGTCCTAAAAAATTTCTTTCGTCATTATTCTTTCGCTTTAATATTTTTAATTATTAACTATTAACCTTATCATTCGAACCACGAGTAAAACTAACTTCAAAAATTCCACACCCCCTTAAATTTGGGTAGAAGAATCTGAAGAAGGTATTTCAAACTCAACATTTTAATCCACTTTTAATAGGAAGACCATGATGGAGTTGTTCAATCTGGTCCAAAATGTATGTCCAATAAGGTGGAACTATTTTTCAAATTTGGTGTCATATCTCGATGGCCACTTGAAAAAATATGTAATATGGTCTCCAGATTCACGATATGAAAGAATTATAAACATTCTATATGATATAAGACAGCGACTTGAAAATACAAGAGGACCATTTTGCCCAATTCGTAGGGCGGGGGTCAGAATAATATAAAAATGAACCCTTGCCCTTCGAACTGGCAATCAAAACTATATGGCAATAGAAACTATATTGGTATGCGCAACTTTCATAGGAAGAATCACATAGGCCCAGTTTAGTCATAAGGGGTGAATACCCCATTTTCCCCCAATTAAAGGTTCAAGTTAGAAGGAGTTAAACATAGGTCCAGAGAGATTGGGAATGTATGGAGTCTATAGGTAATTTTTCACGAGGAATCCGAATATGTAATTAGTTTTGGGGTTAAATGGGGGACCCAATTTCGGGGTATGTTTCGAAATTTTCGTGAATTTTGTAAGGGACCCCCTTTGGGGGTGATGGGAGGGGATGGGATGCTGATTCCGACTGTTGTTGACAAATCGTAACGGAATCAAATTTCTAATGCGCAATAAACAACATGAGATGCGTGCGCCACACAGATATGATGCTATTAAATTTTAAGATGCAATATCCATTCTATACTCATCGGTGGAAGGCAAATACACTTTTTGCATACAATTTCACTGAGGAATAAATGAACCAAATTTTTTTTTTATAAAATAAAAAATCTAAAATCGCACCACAGATAACACATGACCAGACTCCCAACTACTCATAACATACAAAAAAGAAACAAAACATCGCTCCAATTAAAGTGTCCCTAAACTAAAGATGTGCCTCAAAAAGATAAGATGAAAATCTTGAAAATATCTAGATGAATTTCGGAAAATTGAGATACTATCTCAAAAGTATCTTGATTCATTTCAGATATCTTAACCAAACACTGAAAAATTAACACCCATTAAAAACGTGTTTTCTGGGTGTTTTCGGAGCCAGGGAACACGAATCAGTCGTTTTTTCGATGTCCGAATGTATGTACCCTGTACGCAAAAATTAGTTAACACGTATTCAAAACCTGGCTTCACAGGATGATTGGAGGTGCCGAGGAATAGACACCATTAGATTTTGAGTGACTTTGGTTGATAGAGTGAAGTGTCATGTCTGGTGTGATGCCCATGGACATCCATGGAAAAATTCAATTTTTCTTTCAAAAGTGATATTTAATGTATTCTTAAACTCTCAAAAATATGTATTTGGGGGTTTTTTGGTACGAGAAAATCGAATATGACGTTAATTTTGCGATACAAATAATTTTCGACACACTTTTCATAAAAAAAATTCAAAAAATAAAAATCGATTTTTGTATGGAAGCCATGCCTGTCCCTGAGCCAAATTAAATTAAATTATTCCCTTACGAAAAAAACGAAAGATGAATGAATTAAATTAAAAAGGAGATAAGGGGTATGAATTTCAAACTTTGGAGTGAAATAAAAAATGAACGAGTTCTCAGTGAGAACTTCTCATGCCTGTCACCAATAATTTTATCAGTTTTTTTTTGTATTTCACCTTTTTCGAAACTTTACACAGTAAAAAAAGAAAGAAGATGTTAATTATTCGATCAGATAGTGTATTTTAACATGAATTTGGTTGATAATAGAGTTAGTTTACACTCCGTTATATTTTTTTTAGATTTTTCCAATTTTGGATTGCATTTTT